CGATTGATCCCTATACTTTTGGGTCATCAACGAGGCTTATGGAGGAAGACTTAAATAGTCCCATGAATTTTCATCGCAAATGGTTCCTACAACAAATTGTGTGTGATGTTGTTGATATTTTGTATTAGCTGTGAAAGATGAATTTGGAGTACAGTGGCAACGGATGGTGTTTTAAATGTAAAAGAATATTTGGAGTACTAAACAACTGTCATGTCAAAACTTGGAAAATTTCGGTGGTCATTTGACTTTTTTAAGACATTCAAGTGATTTTCTAGCAATTTAATTACCGTAATTCAAATTTGAACTACATGTACATGCAAGAGCTAACCATAACGGTTTGAAAAGTCATATTTCTATACTTGTGTGCAAGTTAATTCCATGTGCATTAAACTGGACGAAATTTTCAAACATATTGGTGTCACGGCTTGCACACAAAGCATCGAGTGCCATGTCATTTAAATTCCAAAAAATTCAAAAATGATCAAAAATACATGAAACCTTGCTTGACGTAATGGCATGGAACCAAGATGGCGTGGTAAAAAAGTGGCATGTTTGACAGAACTTTGGACACACACCCCTCACAAACCGAAGCTACTCACTAGAAGACTCGTGGTTCCGAGAGGGCATAATGCATCTTTGATGACGAACCAGCGATAGCTTCCTCTTATGGCCTTCAAAACATTTCTACAGTTAACGTGCACAAATACAATGGTCATGTTAAAATTTGGAAAATTTCTGGGGTCATTTGACCTTTTTAAGACATTTAAGTGATTTTCTAGCAATTTAATGACCGTAATTCAAATTTGAACTACATGTACATGCAACAGCCAACCATAATGGTTTAAAAATCATATTTTTGTACTTGTGTGCGACATGTGCAGTAAATTGGAAGGATTTTCAAACATATTGGTGTCACGGCTTGGACACAAAGCATGGACTGCCATGGCATTTAAATTCCAAAAAAAATAAAAAATGATCAGAAACACATGAAACCTTGCTTGACATAATGGCATGACACCAAGATGGTGTGGTAAATAAATTGGCATGTTTGATGAAAGTTTGAACACACACCCCTCACAAACCAGAGCAACTCACTAGAAGGCTCGTGATTCCGAGAGGGCATAATGCATGTTTGATGACAAACCGGGGGTAGCTTCCTCTTATGGCTTTCAAATTTTTTCTACAATTAACGTGCACTAATACAATTGTCATGTCAAAATTTGAAAAATTCCAGGGGTCATTTGACCTTTTAAGACATTTAGATGATTTTCTAGCCATTTAATGATCGTAATTCAAATTTGAACTACATGTACATGCAACAGCTAACCATAATGGTTTGAAAAATCATATTTATGTACTTGTTTGTGAGTTAATTCCATGTGTAGTAAATTGGAAGGAATTTTGAAACATATTGGTGTCACGGCTTGGACACAAAGCATGGAGTGCCATGACATTTAAAATCCAAAAAATTAAAAGATGATCAGAAATACATGAAACCTTGCTTTACGTAATGGCATGCCACCAAGATGCCGTGGTAAAAATATTGTGTTTGACGAAAGTTTGGACACGCACCCCTCACAAAGCGGAGCAACTCACTAGAAGGCTCGTGGTTTCGAGAGGGAACAATGCATGTTTGATGATGACCAACGATAGCTTCCTCTTATGGCCTTCAAATTTTTTTTACTGTTGACGTGCACTAATACAACTGTCATGTCAAAATTTGAAAATTTTCAAGAGTCATTTGACCTTTTTAAGACATTTAAGTGATTTTCTAGCCATTTAATGACCGTAATTCAAATTTGAACTACATGTGCATGCAACAGCTAACCATAACAGTTTGAAAAATCATATATGTGTACATTTTGTGTGCGATGTAATTACATGCGCAGTAAATTGGAAGGAATTTTCAAACATATTGGTCTCAGGGCTTGGACACATGCATGGAGTGCCATGGTAACACAAAATAAACATTCATGCCTTATATCACGTCTTCTTCCTCCTTGGGGGCATCGTCTCGGAGCCGGACACAACCTGGGGACCAGTGGATGGCGGCATCTTCGCCGCGTAGTTTGCTGAGGCGGCCATTTCGAGGGCGCTGATTTGTGTTTGGCAACGATGATGGCGTCGCGAGGAGCTTTGGTCGAGGCTCAGGCTTCGGTGGATCTTCCCGGCGTGTCCGAGGTGCTCTTCCGTAGGTTGCTTAGTTGCTTTGAAGTCAAAGCTGCGGTGGACTGTGTCCATGTGGTGACGATGACAGGCGCTCGGTGGTCGATTACGGAGAGCACGATCGATGCGTGTCCTGCATATTTCCTTTGTGATGATCGTCATCAAAGTCGGAGCTATCGGTTGTTCGCGTGTGTTACCTTCTGTTGGCATGTGCCGTCATGGTTTTTGTGCAGTTGCTTGTTGCTGTTTGATCCCATGTTGGTGGCCAGGTTGGCCGGTGGTACCCATGTTATGTGGGTTGGTTTGTATCGATTTTAGCCCGGTTTTCCATTAATTAACCAAGCAATTCTTTTCTTCTTAACCAATGAAAATGACAAGTCTTTTGCCTCGTTTAAAAAAAAGCGCTCAGAGGCCATAGGAAGCCATGGCCTCGTCGGCGGCAAACACCAACCTCTACTTCGCCCCCTTTTTGCCTTGATTGTAGACATCTACTCCCTCTATTCCGAATTACTTGTCGCAAGTATGAATATATCTAAATGTATTTTAGTTTTAGATACATCCATTTCTGCGACAAGTAATTTGAAACGGAGGAAGTAGTGCCTAAAATATGGTGATCAACGTTGGAGTTGCCCTTACATCAGAGCACACTTCCTTACCTTTCCACGTCTCTCATTCACACGGGCAAAAGTGCCACATAAGCAGACTATAAACGGAAAATACCTTTTGAAACATGGTGGTAATTACAACTGATAACTGATTTTTATTTTATTTTAACTCAGAAAAAGTCAAAACATTCTAAAACTTTTTCCCAACAAACTTGAGTTGTCGTTTCTATCATACAAAAATCTGTCGTCTCTGTCATACAAAAATATTCTGTAACGAAATATTGTCCGACAAAATTCTGACAAAAACGGCAAATTGTCATAGAATATAGCATGAACAGTACCATGTATATACAGACAAATTTGTTTTATTACGTCCACAACAACAACATGAATCATTTCTTCACAAAAGATTTATAGGAGTGCAACAATAAATCTACTTTGTTCCCAAAAGGTTTCAGTTTTTTTGGACTTTCTTACAAATTACTATTTTTTTAGAAAAAATCGGGTGTAAATATCTATTGTCTCGCAAGCTCCCGGTCCGCTATCTACTACTCCCTCGGTTCAGAATTACTTGTCTCGAAAATGGATATATCTAGTACTAAAATACGGATACATCCATTTTTGCAAAGTAATACCGGATGAAGGGAGTAGACCTGAGAGCCACAAGCTCCCAGTCCGCTATAAACCCACTATTATACTTCTTGTACATATTTTTCTCCCTTCTATAAAGCTAAGGTACGCCTTTGGCGTACCCTCGAAAAAAAAAACCCCACTATTATACTCGCTATCAGAGACTGTAAATATCTATTGGGCGTGTAGGCTAGGGAGATGGAGAGAGAGGACAGTACTACTCCCTCCGTTCCTAAATATTTGTCTTTCTAAAGATTTCAAATGATCACCACATACGAATGTATATAGACATATTTTAGAGTGTAGATTCACTCATTTTGCTTCGTATGTAGTCACCAGTTGAAACCTCTAAAAAGACAACTATTTAGGAATGGAGGGAGTAGTAGATTGCAAAGCAATGAATGAGGTAGCTACCCCATTCAAAAGGGGCCAGCTCTGCGTGCCAGGCTAGGAGGGACTTGCTTGGCCCTGGCCCTGGGGCCCAAATCATTACCAGCTGGGGCTCCCAGATCTGATCATCACCATGGAGCTAGAGAGAGACAGAGAGGACTGACAGTTCTGTGGTCATCATGGCTTTAACACCTACTGTAGACCCACCCCAGAGAGAGAACAAGTGAGGAAAAAGTCTCTTCTTTTTCACACCCCTAAGCACATACATTGGGCGATGCGCTGTGTTACTACTACCCTTGTTACCCACACCTACCAGCCACCACACACACACAGCCAAACCAGAGGACCAGTGCTGATGTTGCCATCATCTCTACTCCCAAGGACTCTCACAGGCCATGCCATGCCAGCTGGCAGAACAAACCTATTGTGCTAATGCTGACAAATAGTAGAAGAATGCCAGAGCAAGCTAGGATTAGTGATTCTTGACAACATACCATAATACTCCAGCTCATTACAGAAAGAAATAACCAACAGCAGAGTAAAATACAAAGAAAGAAAGAAAGAATGTTGGATTGTTTTATTCATGATGATGAAAATGTATCGGCACCACAGACCAGCAGAAGCAGCAAAATGGCATCCAATTAACACCACCAATCTTTCCCCTCTCTACACCAATTACCAATTGATTTTCCTTTTTATCGCTAAAATGACAGTAACACAACAACTAGCCCTGTCTGTACCCTCCTCCCCCTCCTCCTCACCACCTCCACTAAATGGATTCTCATGTTTTGCTATAGGGTATATACACGTAACGAAAACCGCAACCAGTAACCCCCTCCCCTCTCCCTCTATGATATTCTAAACTAAACAACATTACAAACATTGCCCTCCACGGGCGCTGCTGGTTTACGGCCTAAGATGTAAAGCAAAATGTATCAAAATACAGGGAGCCAAAGAGCCTGAAAGGTGTAAGAATTGAATGGGGTCGGCAATATCATATGTTCTCAACGGCAAGGGATGGGACGGGATGGGTAATGATGGGTGGAAAGCAGAAAACTGGGGGAGGCTCATTATGCTCGATGCTCAATGGGGAATTATTATGCAGCTGGTGAAATGCTGTGGAGACTGGTGTTTTTGCAAATTTGGGACCTAAAGCAAAAGACTGGCTGGCAGAGGAAAGGGGAGCCCTATGTACCAACCGAAAGCTTCTCAAGAACTGGATACGGCATAGTGTCTCACTGAGTAGCGCAGGACATGCAAGGTAGGGCAGATCATCTCCTTCACTCTCGCCCCATCTTTGTATATCTTGAATGTAGGGACTATCCGCACGTTCTCTGCCTTTGCCACCGTTGGGCTATCTTCAACATTTACCTGTTGAGGGGTTGCAATGTGGCCTGTCTGTTAGTGACTTGCAAAAAGTTGTAACTGATTGAGTGATACATCAAGTAGCTTTACCTTCAGAAAATTCATTGAGGGGCATTCGCTGCAAAGAGAGTCCACCGCAGGTGTAATTTGTATGCATTGTTGATTCACCGACGACATGAAGTAGACAACAGATACCCCTGAAAATGAAACGACAGGCAAGCAAAACTGTAATGCAGGCAAATCTAGTACACTATAAACCTATCCAGATGCATCAGTAATAATTTTATAGTTTTATACACAAACAATGTGGCAGTTCTCGTTCTTCATGATAATGCACAGATACACACAAGAACTGACCTACGGATATCGGAACTGTAACAGAAACAAGTATTATTTGAGCAAAACTCACCAGGCGAACGAGTGGCAGCATATAGTTGCTCTACACTGGTTACCATTTCAACCTCTCCTCCAAACTTCATGTTTGATACATCCTCACCACGAGTTGTCTTCAAGGCAACTTGAGCATGGAACAATGCTTCAGCAACCTCAGTATCGGCAGGAAGCTCTTTCCGGAGCGCCTCATAATCCCGCACACAATCAGCCCAACGATCGAGCTAATAAAAATGGAAGAGGTCAACAAAACAGCAAGAGGAATGGGATGTCAAGAACATGAGAATGCCCGGTCGCTTACCTTGGAATAGGACATTGCTCGCCTTAAGAGAGCCTTTGTGTAAGTAGGCTGTATTCTCAACGCCTCATTACAGTCATCAACGGCTTTCTCCCAACCGTCTAGCTTCCACCAGCAAGCTGCTCGGTTGCAGTGGAGCACTGGATTTGAAGGATCGTACTTGAGGCCTTCACCATAGGCTATAGAAGCATCAGAAAACTTGGCAGCCTTGAAGAGTTCGTTCCCTTGGGCTCGAGCTCTTGCAACTAGCCTCACATTATTTAGAATCATCCCAACTTCTGCATTCCCAGGATCGATAAGTCTGGCATTCTCAGCTGCTGCAACAGCGGCATCAAACCTGCAGAAATGAATCCCAACTACAGTGATGATCTGCTTTTGCTGCAATCTAGAGAATCAAGCATTGTTACAGGGTTGGACGATCGTACGTACCTTCCCAATGCCATGTCAACCTGGGCTCGCACAATATGTACATAAGATTCAACTAACATGCCCGAGAGTTTGGCCGCCGTCCACGATAGTAATGACTTGTCTAATTTCAGCAAGCTTGTAAGAGTCGAATCAGCCTCCTCTAGCTTGTGGAGCCGGAGAAGTGCTTCTGATCTCAAGGCACGAAGCTGGTTGAAAAAGAAACCAGTATAAATTCTACCAAGAATCTACAATGTAAAACTGATTCCATTTTCCAACACTTGAAAGAAAGAAAGCACAAGCGAGGGATGAGCAATTTACCAACTGAGACGAGTCGGCTCCGGCCGCAATTGCAGCATCCGCTTCCCTCAGCGCGCTCTTCCAATCTCCAATTTTCCTGGCATCTGTGCTTCTTCCTAGATGCATCTCCACATCCTGCAGCTTCTCCCAGTCTGCAGGGTCGGACTCGTGAAGATGCCTGGCTTGTGTGAAGTGCCTCCTCGCCTTTTCAATCATTCCCAGCCTGAAACAATGGAAATAACACTGATTTCAGCAACAAAACAAGCATGCAGCACATCTGAATAATAACACTGAATTGCTCTCAGGTCAGGACAGCGCCCCGTTTGAACAGAATTAGGATTAAAATTCATGGTTCGTAAGCATTGTGTGGTCTGAATTCAGTGTACCTAAAGACAATGGCATCAAGCAAGCTTACAAAATAATACAGCTAAGCAACACCTTTCATTCAGCACTGTGTGATGGGAAACGCCCAATTAATGTGATAATTCTGTCACCAAAATTCCTTTTTTTTCAAATTGGAGAGGGATGATCAAACAGACCACACGGACCAGTAACAATCCCCAATCAAATCGGGCAGCGCAAACAAAAAGAAAGAGGAACAACGCAACAATCATGTTGCTTTCATCTTCAGGTTGGACTTTGTTAACGGGAAAAGCTGGCAAGCACAGCCAAGAAAGCAACAGCAACATGCAGGCGTGAAAACGTGAACACTTGAGAGCAATGGAATCAAGTAGGAATCTGCACATCGAACTGGAATCTAATGCGTTCTGCCGCAGAGCGGCGCAATGCCGGTTACAGTGACCCAAAGATACGAGCACAAGAACCTCACCGGAGGTAGAGACCAGCGAGGCGGCTGTGGGCGCGACCGCTGGCCGGGTCGAGCCGCACGGCCTCCTCGGAGTCGCGGAGCGCATCGGCGAGCCGGCCGAGGCCGATGAGAGCGGCGGCACGATTTCCGCGGCACGCGGCGCTTTCGGGGCAGAGAGACACCGCACGGTCGTAGTACCGCAGCGCCTCCCCGTGCCTCCCCTTCTTGTACCACTCGTTGCCTAAGCGAGTCATCTCCTGGAGGCTTCCGCCGCTCGGTGGCGCCACCGGGGAGCTTGCCGGAGATCGCATTGAGTGTCCGAGAAAGGACGGCGCATCAATGCTGCTTCTCGCGGGGACCATGCCGGCACCGCGCATGATGCTCCCGTGGCCATAGTGGCCGGTGCCGGATCCGAGCACGTCCGGGCGGGAGCGCGGCGGGGGCGGCGCGGCCGCCGCCCCCGGAACGCGCCCAGATGGGCAGATGTTACCGGCGGGGAGCGCATTGGTCATCGGCGAGCTCGCCGTGCTCCCACGGTCCCCTCCGCCTCCCCCGCTCCCTCCGCTGCTGCTGCCGCCGGAGAAAATCAGCGGGCCAGATCCGGACCGCCGGTGCCCCGGAAGCCGCGGCGGGTGGCTCTCCACCGCCAGCTCACCGGAGTGGCTCCTCCCACCTGCCACTCCCGCCGCCCCAACATTTGACTGCGCTGGCGACTTGGCCGACCCGGAAGAGGAGGAGGAGGAGGTCGTCATGCTGGCCCGCGCCCGCAGCGGCGACACCGGGGACCCAAGATCTGCGAACACGTTAGCCTTGGAGTCCGGCTTGTCCCGCACGGCGCCGCCGTCGAGCGCTATCGCCGCCGCGCGGAGGCGTAACCGGTCGGCCTCCGACATGGCTGGATCTCACCGCAAAATCTCACCAATACCGCCACCTGCACCCCGCAACTCCTCCTCCTCCCCTGACCAAACAAGCAGGCATAGAAGGAAGCACGCAACACGGGAAGAGCTCGTCCTTGCGCGCGCGCGCGGCGGGGGTGGTTGCGCAGTACTGCTCGGCAAGAACCCTGAGCAATAAATTATGGAGGAAAAGCGCGTGTGGGTTTCTCGTGAGGCGGGGAAATGGAGAGAGATGGCGAGCACCGACCGGAGAAAGAGGGGAGAAGAAGGAAGGAAGGAAGAAGAAAGGGGAGAGGACTGGGCGTCAGGGGAAGAAATAGACTCTGCGCGCACCGACACAGGGGTGACCCCGAGACGCTTCGAGTATCTCAGGGGGCAAAATACAAAAATCTCTATCCTTTCTTCTTCTATGGGGCTGTTTGGGTTTCTGCCTGGAGGATGGTTTTGCGGTTTGGTGCCATAGAGTTTTGGGATTCTGTCTTCTTGGACCTTGTGGGTTTTTGGAGGGTTAGAGAGTTATCGAGATTTCTTTGAACTACTTTGATTTATAGAGATATTTGGAGTTATAGCGATTTTTTTTGAATTTCTTAGAAACACTTAGATTTACAGAAAATCAGTCAAAATAAAATCTACCTTTTTGCAGCGAAAAAAATTTACGGGTGAGTTATAGCAATTTTACAACTATTTTAGTTTCAAGAGGCAATACAATCTAGACATAAGATGTGTTTTGACTGGTATCATCTAAGTGATGTAAATGACATATATTGTTAGTGGATTTAGAAACGAACTTGGCTTTTATGATATATTTTTGTTCTACGGCGGGGTTACCTTCCTTTTAACTATAATTTTAGATGGAACGTCACTATACTTTGCATAAGATAAATATTGATGATGCGGTGACAACATTTCAACAACGGAATTGAACATTATCTATCAGATTTGTAATATATAAGGATAGTATTTTTTAGTGGCATACAAGATACATACATCGTCAAGTCTAATGTAATGTATGATATAAAAGTTATCATATATTCTCGTATTTAATAACGCAATACCTTCGGATATCCCGAATCCTCGGTGTCCCAAAAATGGTTGAGCATCTGAATATAAATTAATGTTTCTAGATATGCATTGTTTAAGAATGGGTTTAAATATCCAAACCATGTGTTCTAATATTTGTGTACCCAACTAGATTACTAAACAAACACTGAAATATTTAAGATATTTGGTGTATTGCCATATTTTATTTTATTTTTATCACACAGTGTGCATGATGCATTTCTCTTGTGGTGACTAATTGTTGTAATGGTCTACAAAATATATCTGCCATGTAATGACCAATGGCTAAATGAATAGAGGAAAACACAACTACTATCAAGAAACTATACCAAGCCAAAAGAGCTAATTAGGATGCATTGGCCTCCAAAATGACCGTGACACCCATTTTGTAATACAGTTGGATGAAAAATGAATCTTAATTAGTTGTACAATTGCAATTCCTTATATAACACTACGAGAAGGAAGAATGTCATTTTGGCACAAGTCATATGACCGGTATTTTAATGTCAAATTTAGATGAGCTCTTATCGGGCCAAATAATTGCAGCCATGTTGTATAGCATAATGGACATTTTCTTTACCGGCTCGATGTATTGACTTATCATGAACTCGCATGTGCTATTTACTCGCACATTTTGTGGAAACTTAGTACATCAACCCCCTCCCCCCCCACACACACACACTCACACACACACACACCTCAGTCGGTACAATATTACATGTCAAAGGATAACTTTGACTAGAGATACTTAGCTCAAAATAACTTCTATAAACAAGGTGAATGTATATGCCAAACTGCTCGGTTTCTCTAGGTATTGTGTATTGCTCTTAAATGATGCTCATATGTGTAGGAAAATGGCCCGATGGTCCAGGGTGGCGTCCCTTCTCCTAGATTATGAGTGTAGTTCTGATAAATGTTAGGTTATTTGGTTATGATACAACTATATTATTTTGACAAAGAAGTTTAAACTACCAAAACCGAGTTATTCCTAGGAGTGTTGTATTGTTGCAATCATGAGCATTCTTACATAGGCCGGGTTTGTGGAAAGCATGATCAGGTGAAGCAAGTGGTTGGAGACCATAGTGATGTAGTTACTTGCTACTTTTTCATGGTGTGTTCATAGGTGACTAGGTGACGGTAGCTCTATTTAGCACTTTTTTTCTTGTTTTACATATGTTAGCATGAGGGCCTTTTCCTTTATTTTTAAGACTTTGTAATAAACGTATTTGTAGGTTGTGCACTCCTTCTCATTGTAGAGGCCAAGGGAACAATAACAAATTCAAACTAGACACCAATAGTCAATTGTATATCTCGGTCGTGGATAAATTTTGTAATCTTTTTTTTGTATTTGTACAAAGAGAAGATGTCTCTTCAACTTCAATATTATTATTTTTAGACTAAAGTCTTCAATGAGAATAAAGTACAAGCTCTACTCGGTTGATATAAAAATAGAGCTTTTAAGACACTACAATTTGATGGACAAAGTATTTTGGAGTTTCTCCGTTCCACTTACTCATTCTCAGTGCAAGACAAACAAATAAGATAAAGAAGTGGCGTCCACTAGGATAAATTTCCGGTAAATTTCTGTGAACTAAGTTTCAAAAGGTTGAACAACTTTTGTTTCAACGCTATCTACACACACTAAACATGTTCAAGAATAGCTAGACATACTATTGGTTATTACAAGACAAGTGACCTACTTTATGGAGTTTTTATTCCTACTCTACCCAACAATGAGCTCACCATCTTGTGTCCAATATTGTGACTACAAGAAGGTGGCAAGGAATGTTAGTACATATCGGATCAAGCAAAATGACATTTACAAAAATCACAACTTCTGCCAAAATAACAGGCCGCATATTTGTATACTCAAGTAATAAGTGTGACCCGGGTCGGAGCTGCCATTGATGATTATAATTTACTCGTTGGACATTCTAAGAACATTGAAGTGGTACTATGGAAAACAAGAATGAGTCGGACAATAATCCTCTCAAAATTGTACTGGTCGGGATTAAGTTGCCATCACTAGCAGATGCTTAGAAAAGTAGCCAAAAATAAGAAGACGGAGATGAAAACCAGCAAAAGCCTACCTTACGCATCTTATTTTCTAGTTAGGGAAGAAAAAGGTGGCATGAGGTAAATAGGCACACCTTGGAAATGCAAGGTTGGCTCAGCACAGTCAGTCTCGCGTAGCGTGTGGCTGTAGGATCGAATGTATGTCTGGAGGGGGTGATTAGACTACTTGACCAAATAAAACTTATCATTTTCCCAATTTTAGTTGTAGGAAAGTTTTAGCAATTCAACCAAGTCAAGTATGCCCTACACATGCAAGTCTAAGATTTGAGCAGCGGAAAGTAAAGACTTTGCATATGAATGTAAAGAAGGGATTGAAGAACTCAAACGCAATGAAGACACGATGATTTTTGTCGTGGTTCCATAGGTGGTGCTATCGTACATCCACGTTGATGGAGACTTCAACCCACAGAGAGTAATGGTTGTGCGAGTTGACGGAGGGCTCCACCCATGAAGGGTCCATGAAGAAGCAACCTTGTCTATTCCATCATGGCTTACGCCCACGAAGGAATAGCCTCACTCGGGTAGATCTTCACAAAGTAGGCGATCTCCTTGCCTTACAAACTCCTTGGTTCAACTCCACAATCTCTTGGAGGCTCCCAAGTGACACCTAACCAATCTAGGAGACTCCACTCTCCAAAAGGTAATAAATGGTGTTGTTGATAATAAACTCCTTGCTCTTGTGCTTCAAATGATAGTCTCCCCAACACTGAATCACTCTCTCACCAATTTGGCTTTGGTAGAAGAGGGGGTTGAATTAAAAGCAACTTGGGAAGGCTAGAAATCAAGGTTCAAATGGTCGGATTGGAATATCTTGATCTCAACACATGAGTAAATGGTTCTCTCGGAAAATGAGTAGTGGAAGTAGTGTTTCGTTCTGATGACTGTCTTAGAGATTAAGTGGGGTGGAGGGGTATATATATATACCCTTCACCCAAAGATCCAACCGTTAAAAGTCATTGACCCAACTCGGTAAAACCGGACCGAAATCTCGGTGAGACAAATTAGTGTAAAAGATTCAAATGTTGGAAGTCTCGGTGAGACCGATCAGAACATCTTAGTGCAACTGCAGTGCAATGGCTAGGACAGACCTCATTTCGGTAGTCCCAGTCATTTCGTCTCATTAATTCTAAAATGAAGCAACTTCACAACACAAACTTGGTCACGCCATCTCAGTGAGACCGAGATCCATGTCCGTAGAACCGAAATGCTAGGGTTTGGCTTAGGCAGTGTATGTGATCAACTTGGTGAGTCTGGGATAGAGATTTTTGGTGGGACCGAGATGATACTTTAGGGTTTTGGACACATGTGATGTGGAGAAGCGTTTGAGGATTTTTGGAGCAATATCACTAAGCACTTGAGCAATTGAGTCATGATCAAAACCTCATCCCCTTTTAAATAGTATTGGCTTTCCTATGGACTCAATGTGATCTTGGATCACTTAACCAAAAATGTAGATTCTTGGAGCTTTGCCAATCCTTGTCCTTAGCATTTTGAGGGGTCCACAATCACTAGTCCTTGCCATGCCAATCATTGATCTTCTCTGAAATCTATTATCGATGAGCATTAGATCAATGACTTATATGTTGTTATTAATTACCAAAACCACCCGGGGATTAGTTCCACTTTCAATCCCCCCCTTCTTGGTAATTGATGACAACATATAGATCAAACCTTCGACAAATGATATAATCAAAGAAATACATCGTCGCTCAAAATGATATGATAAGCAAGCCCCCCCCCTAAATTTGTGTTTGAATACAAATGCACAATCGATTAGGATCATGGGTCACTCTTCCATGTCACATACATCTCGGTGGTGTGCTCAAAATGATATGATTGCAATGTAATAATAACTCATCACC